CATACCTGGTGTATGCCGGCGGTCTGCATTGGTGATCGGTCTTCAACTTCAATGTGCTCTTGTTGCATGACCGTAGATAGACTAGGTAGGCTGAGTAGTTGGTGTGGCCAGAGAGCGAGGGCATTGACATTGGATACTATGTTGGTGTGGCTAGAGAGCGTCGGCATTGACATTTGAGTTCATTGTATTGCTCTTATTGGGATGTTATCTTGGTGCATTGTGCTCTCTGCTTGGTACATCACTATCTGGGCTACTTGGTGAATTTGCAATTTGGATTTCTGTCTATCGCTCTCGCGCATATTCCTTGCAGCATTTGGATTCGAACTTGGGTCTGTATTTCAACAGTTAATGGGTGTATCGACTGAGCTAGGCCCTCTGGTGGGCATTTCTTATTCTTTGCCAGCATTACGAGGAAATTTATTCTGGTTTGGATGGCACTCGTGGTCTGACCAATCATGTGCACACAAAATGAGGTGCCGGTTTGGACTGTAAGCGAGCTTTATCAAACAAGTTTCTTTTGTTTGTGTAGCTGTTTACTGGTGTCATTAGGAGTAATGACATTATATGTGGTAGAGCACATCATATCTGGTAATGTAGTCTGTGTGTTGGCTGGTGTTGGGTTCTGATTGTGCAGGGATGCAGTGGAGCTCCTTGGGAAGCAGCTGGACTTGTTTAGAAGAACAAGGGAGAGGATTGGAGAGCAGCTGCTGGAGACACTTCCCTCTGGCGAGAGGGATGAGCAAATCAGGCAGGCAATGGATGCTGCAGGCGATTTGCATGTGTCTTTGACCTCTGTGGATGCAGAATACAAGGTCTGTAAACCTCTCGATTTTCCTCTCAGTTTTCTCCGTGTGTAAACCCTGGGGGTGCCCTGTTTAAAAGGGAGGGATTCATTCTTGATATGATGTGTAAATTGTGAAATAAAATTTTAAAAAAGAAAAAAAAGATATAGGGAAATCCGGTGGTGGCGTCGGTCGGAAGAGCAGGGGGTGGCTTGTTTAATCTTGTGAAGTGGTGGTTGTTGAAAGTTCCTGTTATTGGTCGTTTTATCTTGGTCGAGGTTTCCTACAGGCTGCAGGATTTGTTAGCACAAACATAGTATTGGTGGGGCCTGGCCCTCTGTCTTCTGAAGTACTGTTAAGGAGTCTAGTACAACAACTGTTTGCAAATGGCCTCTAAGCACGGGTTCTTGAAGTCTCGGGGTTTAGTCACCAGTCCACCTTAGCCCTTGTGCCCTTATGTTGGATTTTCCCTGTCCCTCTTTTTCGAACCGTTGGAGGTCCAGGCTACTGGAGGCCACTAGCCGTTGTTGTCCTGTAGGCCGAACCTGACCATGGTCAGGTGTTAACTGCATGGCACTGGGGCCACACCTCTGCATGGTGGTTTAGGGCACCACTATTGGAAACTTAATTTATAACCTGTCTTTTGCCAGACCTTGGAGTCGCTGAACCTCAGGTGTCAGGGGCAAAAGACTGACTTGTTTCAGCTGTTGCGATTGTGATCCAATGGCGGAGGTCACTGACAACAATTTTTATTCGTCGGTTCCCTACACCTTGTGGGAGAGAGAGAGGGAGAGAGAGAGAGAGAGAGAGAGAGAGAGAGAGAGAGAGAGAGAGAGAGAGAGAGAGAGTTTTGGGGGGGAGGGGGAGGGGCACAGCATGTTTGTGAGATATTCTCATGCATCCCAGCAGTGCCCATGCGCACAGTCAAAATTTTATCATGCACACATCCACGGTCGAGACTTATTTCTCATGCACACCGGGCCGTAGACTTATTACTGCTGGGCATCCATGTCTGTGAGACTTTTCACTGGATCACCGAGGGATGCATTCCCTCCTCAACTTGCAGATGTCACATGTTTGCATTTCTCTTGTTGGGGATTAGATCCTTGGCTATTGCCAAGGGCTCTCATCTATTTCATTTCTTTCACAGGTTGAAGGCTCTCGCCGCACGGCGCATGAAGCGAAAAAGAAACGAGTGCATCTGCCCAGGAAAGGTGGCAAAATACACTCGTTGCTATTTATAGCAAACCGATGAACCTGGCCATTTTCTGCAGGAAGATGCAATCGTTTCGTTTTTCGTTTCGTGTCCCGTGCGGTGACGCCCGAAGTGTCGTGAGACATAACCCCAGAGTGCGAGGGAGAGCTCCCCTGACAGTACTTCCAGTTCTTAGAGGCACGTTTGGAGGTGCCACGCCCACATCATTGCCTCTTCATGTGGTGAGATCGTTTTAGGTGGAGTTACGTTGTGGGCCGGCTTCAGAAGCACAGCTTTGCAATGTTGATAATTCTCTTTCACAGGCTGTGAAGTGCTGCACCTGCCAAAATTGGCTTTTAAGAGGAAAGTCCCTTTCCTCTTTGCCGATGACTTTGAAATGGTTTCACCCAGCAGACCCGATATTTGCAGACACAGAGATTCGATTCCTAGACCTGTGCCCAAACACTGTACATTGACCCTGTGTGCTGAGGGAGATTTGATCCCTAGACCTACCCTGTACCTTGTTCATTGACCCTGTGTGCTGAGGGAGATTTGATCCCTAGACCTACCCTGTACCTTGTACATTGACCCTGTGTGCTGAGTGGGATTCGATCCCTAGACCTACCCTTTACCCTGTACATAGGCCCAGCGATCTGTGTAAGACTCGATCCCTAGGTCTGTAGATTAGGAGTTAGGTCTGTTACCGTTAGGCTTAGGAAGGTCTGTTCTAGAGGTCTCTATCTGAGTGTACTGAGGCCTAGAGTCTGTTTGTAAGTGTGTAGGCACTAGAAGGTCGTAGGTCCCTGTAGGCCAGTCCAGTCAGCAAGTACCAGGGGTAGGGGCTGCACGTGGGGAAGGTTCTGGACCACGCTGTGGGTTCCACACGTTTTGGCCAGAAGGCCAAACGTCTGGAAGCTTCCCTGGGTCACACGTTTTGGCCCAGGCCCACACGTTTTGAGGCAGGGCCCGGGCACCTCTGAAGAAGTATAAATAAAGAGGCAGCGTCCAGCCATTCATTCATTCACCTGTGAGCTATGTGGAAGTGCTGCCTTGGTATCTTGTGCGTGGACTGCAGGTGCCCGGAGAGGAAGTGGGCTGTGAAGAAGACAGGGGCCATAGCGACCAGCGAGAGAGAGATTGGCGGCCATAGTTAGGAGGAGGAAGACGACGGCGGCCATAGCCGCCCAGCTGTTGGTGTAGGCAGGGTGTATAGAGTGTATGTGTGTACAGCGTGGACATTCAGGGTTATCCTCGTACGTGCATGCATGTGAGAGTGAGGGAGAGTGAAGCCGGTGGTTGAGACAGTGTTTGGCTGCCATAGCCGCAGGTTTGTACAGTTGTTCTGGACAGAGTTCCAGAGCAAGTTCATTGTTGATTCTGAGTTGGAAGAGTTCGATTTTGCCATCAGTTCTCATGTATGCATGTTGTAAGCAAAGAGTCGAGTCTGATTGCAACTTAACTGTTCCTTGTTTATATTGGTGCTGGTCTGGGCCGGATCCTGTTACATAGCTGGACTCCAGGTGCTGAAGGCCTGTTGATGTTGAGAATTCTCCAGGCAGTGAAGTGCTGGACCAGCCAGAATTGGCTTGGAAGAGGAAAACCCCTTTGCTCTTTGACGACGACTTACCTGTTCCTTTATTATATTGGTGCTGCCCTGGGCTGGATCATGGCCACTGTCTTTCAGATCTCTAGTGCTCGTGCTTCCACCTTGGATGCATTATCAAAAAATAGATCTTCTTGAGGATCCTTTGCAGGGGGTGGGTCCTCGTCTCCCATTTTCGTGTGTGGTTTTGCCAGCTTGGCACCTGTACTCTTCCAAAAATACGTCCAATCTTACCTTCCATGGAGTGGTTACTAAAGTTACACCTGTCCTCTATATCCGGGATGCACCTTTATGGTCATTCGTGGCCATGCAGTGGGTATCTATACAACTTTTGTTGTTTGTGAAACGGTATTCACCAGTTCGAAGTAGCTGATGCAGATCCCAGGGCTCGATCCCTAGTTCCCCAACTTACCTGTGTACAGTACCTGTGTCAACTCGAAGAATTGACCCTGCGACCTGTAGAACCGCCAGTGGTAAGTAGGTCTGTCGTAGGACTATAGGTAGCCAGGATTCGATCTGTAGACCTGTAGATTAGAAGTCTAGCTGCAGTCCTTCTAGAAGGTCGGCAAGTGGTCAAGTGGTGCAGGCAAGTGGCCAAGTGGTGTGACTAAAGCAAGCCCACGTTGTAGACGAGGACAAGTGGCGAGGTCAAACAGCAGGACCCCAGTGCAACTGCACTGCGTCGTAGGGTCGTTGCCATGCAGTCAAGGGAGAGTCTAGAAAGTACCAGTCCGGTCCAGCAAGTACCACGGGGGGGACTGTGTGCACCATGGGCCAAGGATACAGGGCAGACCAACGCAGCGCAGAAGTATAAATCAAGAGRCTGCGTCCAGCCATTCATTCATTCCTGCGGATGCCATGCGGAAGCGCTGCCTCAGCAGCTWGTGCGAGGAGGTCTGCAGTGTGCCCGAAGACGAAGTGGGCAGAGAAGTGTAGTGTAGCGATAGGGTAGTGGCAGCTAGCGCTGCCATAGCCATAGCCTAGTGKGTGTGTGTTGTGTATGAACATTGARTGTYGCGTGTGGGACATCCAGGGKGATCTCGAGTGTGAACAGTGAGTTGTATGGGCGCACAGTCGCCATAGCCAGTTGGAAGAGAACTCATATCTGGTTACAATATCTTTGAGTACTGTGTGGGCGCATGTCGCCAGTTCGCTGTATCGCTGTTTGCAAGCATGATGAAGTGTGAATAAGTCGAGTATGATTGCATTTGATCCTATCTTGCCCAGGATTTTTGGTCGCTTCTTTCTGTGGTTCATAAATGACACTTATCATCCAGTGTGTGTGTGTGTGTGGGTACACACTTGTGTGTGCATTTGATGGACTTGTTTGTGTTGATATGTATGCGGGGATGTTGGTGCATCTGGCCTTTGTGTGGTTCTCTTTGAGTTTGAATTGGTGTTGATGTGTGTGCATCGGGATGGCTTAGGTGCTCCGGCGCTTGATGGGCGGTGTTGTGGCGATTATACTGAGGCCAGAAGAGGCGCATTGTGGGGTCCTGAGATGTTTAGCAAGGGAGCTGCTCGCATGTGCGCTCATGAAACCTGTCATGAAATTTGCCAGCCCCGGGTTAGTATTCTTCTCTCTTATTGCTTTTGCCTCCCATAGTGAATGAACATTTTATCGCACAGTGAGGTCAGAAGAGGCCCATTGTGTTTAGCAAGGGAGCTCTTACATGTGTACCAATAAAACCTCTCATGGGATTTGGCAGCCGTGCTACCTCGTTGTAGCACTTTTTTGTGAAGTGCTACAAGTACCCCTTTTAATGACACATGGTTATGTCCAAGAAGAGGAGTGCCTCCCTATCTCTCACCTATTATAGCAATTCTGCCGCAGCTTTTTGGGCCTTAATTCTGCAGTTCTACTCATATGTTCCCATTATCTCCAGGTATATGACGTTTCTGTTTCCCCTCTTGATTTCTGAGTCTTGACGGCTGATCTAAGCCTAGGGATATAATCCCTTGCTTGTTCTTGCAGGAATGGAATCAAAGGCTTCACTGTCAAACAACTTGATCGTGGTTAACATATAGCGGCCCTTTAGCAGGTAACACGACTGGCTACCTTGCTTACGGAGAACTGTCATGGATGTTCAAGCAACTGTGGAAGTGGATTTGTTGAAACAGATGGGTTACGGACCTACGGTTGCAGAAACTGTCTTCTGATAGGTCCTCTTCTGATGTACAGGTACATCAATGAAGTTATTTTGTTGTTGGTGCCATCGTTGGAGGAGAGAAGTGAGAGACATCGGCGTGCTTGTGCCTCAACCCCCGAGAGTAGTGCACAAGATAAGAAGCTACGTGGATCTCCCAAGCAAACCATAGTGATACCAGTTCAGCCAAGTGACGAAGCACCCGTACGGACACCAACTCCACGAGCAGCGGCTGAGGCAGCATCAGTGCCAACGCCAGGCTTAAGACCAGTCCCAACACCGGTGCCTTTCCCGCCTGTGCTGGCCTCATCATCTTTGGATGCACAATCTGAAAGCATGAGCTCTTCAGCATCTGTTGGCAGCAGTGGAAAGGATAGGAGGTGCAGCAGCAGAAACAAATCCCGGCCTGGTAGTGGATCAGGGGTGTATGATGGGTACAAGGGGCCTGCTGAACTGGATGGGAGGAAGATAGTGGTATGCTATCAGGAGAATGGCGTTGTGGAAGGAGCTGTATTGTCTTTGCCTCATCAGGGGAAAACTGCTATGTCGAAGAGGTCTGTGTCACCACCTATGAGAGACACTGGGGAAATGGAGCAAGCTCGTAAGGACCAAGTCAACAAAGGTCATCTTGGTGGGGTGAAACTGGATAAAGAGGAGACCAGGTGCAAATATGTGGACGGGCGGAGCAAGGCATTGGTCACAGAGCACTGGGATGGGCTGTGGACTGGTGTGGATGGTAAAGGCCGAAGGCAACAGAGTGCGCTGGTGAAAGGGGAGGAAAAAGAAAATGGGGGGGTAAAGACGGCCATGGCTGAGAGCAAGTCAGGGCAGGAGAGGAAATCGGAAGCAGAAGGCAGAAAGAGACCAAAGAGAGACACTGTGCAGAGAGAAAAGGAGGTGGTGGCTGGTCCAGAAAGGCCTGCTTCAGACGTGTTTGCCAAAGTGCAGAAAGGGGCAATAATGGCTAAAGAAAGACCCGGTTCGGATCAGTCTGTCAACGCAAGTGTGAAGTCAGATGTGGAGAAGGACGAGAGCATGGAGCTTTTATCGTTGAAAGGGAGGAGGCAGAATGAAGGGGTCAACATGGGGGAGGAGGAAGACGGGGAGAGGTATTTTGGAAGCTTCAGGCAACAACAGCGTGAAAACAAGTTCCGTAGACTGTTTGATGATGATAGAGTGGAAGAGATCAGAGGGATTGGATTCCTCGGGATGGAGGATAAGGGAATTGTCTGGAGGGTGGGACAGAGCTGCCAGAGCACCCTTGTAGCAAGATCAGATCCGAATCGATCCAGCTGTTCAGGGCAAAGGGGGGGAATGGGTAAAGCGGCCACGTTAGAAATGGCTCAGGATACTGAGAACTTTTCAGGTTCTCAACAGCGGCCAAGTACAATTCACGAGGTCAAAGGGTCGTCTTCTGCTTCTCAGCACCATCAAAGTGTGAGTTGTCTTCCAGGAATAGAGATGAAGCTGAGTGAAGAAGATGAGATGGATGCAGTGGACTTGGACGAAGTGGACTCCGTGTCCACGCTCAGGCGGCATGGCAAAGTGAACCTTGATCGGCCAATTCCCACTGCACAAGAGAAGAAAGAGGAGATAGAGGAAGTGCACTTGAAAGGAAATAGATGGGAGGATCAGCCTGTGGTAGGGAGAATGAATGAGCATCAGCGATCGTCAAGCGTGAATCTTAGAGTTGCCGGTGACAGGTTGACTCTTCTCAGACGTTCTGCGAGCGATATGGGATGTTCCTCGTCAACGTTTGACGCCACAATTAAGCTGCAAGCAAAGGTGAGTGAGCTGACGACAGGAAGAGCAGATGCAGCCATTTCTTTGTCCTACTGTTGCCAATCCATGATGAGCAGGCTTCATGATTGGTGCTGTGTGGTTTGTGTATTTGTATGTGTAGTAGATAAGGTATCTGATTTTAGCAGAGAGTTCTTTCTGCAACTTTGGGATTACGTATCTCACTAGTACATCTCTATGCAGAGCTCACTCAGGGAGAAAAACTGAGAGGTTTGTGTACTTGGTAGTAGACACCGTAAATGTTTGTATGGTGAAATCAGCCAAGTTCTGATCAAGTTCCACCTCACATACATCAATGAACATCCGTAAGAGAGCTCACACATGAGAAGGGAAAGATGAGACACAAATGACACATGAGAAAGTCGTCTCCAAAATTATCCTACCCCCTAAGCGGCATTGGCTGGGGGGGGGACAACGGTGGTCCGCTGCGCGCCGAAACCCGGCGTGATGGGGTGGATCAACGGGCAGGGCGCGTGCAGAGACGGCTTTCTACTGGTTTGTACACAGCGTGCCAGTTAATGTGCTGAGAGCAGCCATGAAACGGTTTCGCCTGTCCGCAGTAGCGAGCACAGATCCCAGGGCTCGATCCCTAGTTCCCACCTTACCTGTGTACAGTATCTGTGTTGACCCCGAGTGTTTGAACCCGTGACCTGTGTTTTGATGGTCGTTGTTTGTCGTGGGTCGGTGTAGGGGTAGGGGTTCGATTTGTAGACCTGTCGGATAGGAGCCCTAGTGAGTTCTAGAAGTTGTAGCTGTAGGTTTCCCGAAGGGTCAAGGTCGTAGCTGCTACAGTATCGAAAGGCCAAGTCTACGGCCTTCCGGAAGGTCTGAGTAGTGGCCTTTCGGAGTTCCTTATGTTTAGGTGAGGCAAGTGGGCAAGTGGTGAGGCAAGTGGTGTAGTCTACCCGTGCTGAGTCAGTAGTCCCAGTCCTAGGCAGTCCTGGTCCAGTCAAGCAAGTACCGCATGGGACTGTGTGCACTACGGGCATGGGGAAGGGCCAGACCAATGAGTTGCAGAAGTATAAATCAAGAGGCAGCCCCCAGTCATTCATTCATTCCTGCGGAAGCCATGCGGAAGCGCTGCCACAGTGACTTGTGCGAGGTGGTCTGCAGAGGAGCCTGAAGTCGAAGTGGGCTGAAGGGAGTTAGCGCAGCCATAGCTGCTGTAGTTAGTGTAGTGGGCGGCCATAGCTGCCGTAGTTAGTATAGGTGTGTATGCGTGAGTCTTGTAGAGTGTGTGCGTGGGGTATCCAGGGTGATCCTAGTTGAGTGTGCGTGTACAGCAGAGTGAGGCGCAGTGACGAACAGAGTGTTGTACAGGCGCTGTTGCGCCATAGCCATTTGAATCGAGGGTGTATCTGAGCTGTGTCCGTGGCTACCATATCTCTGAGCTTTGAGTGGGCGCATGTCACCAGTTTGCTGTATTGCCTGTTTACATGCATGCGAAGTGTGAATGATTGTGAGTCTGATTGCAGCCACGTGGGCGGTGTGCGATGAGCGTGGATCGACGGGAACATCTCACAAGGGGAACCGGCCGATATCTGGCGGCCGTTGTCTTGCGGCCGCATTCATTTTTTTGGTTTTCCAGATAGCTGGCGGCCGTCGTTTTGTGGCGGCCTTTTTTTTTTGGTTTTTCTGCCCGTCGTTTTGTGTGAAACGGTTTTCCACGAAGTGGTGTGACAGACACAGTCCCCGGGCCCGATCCCATGACCTCTCCCCTTCCCATGTACAATACCCTTGACCCCTGTGTGCTTAAACCCGCGACCTATCCCTGAAAGTCGTATGTTCGACTGCTGTACCAGCCCGGTCACATGGACTCGACCCGTGGGCTTCAGTTTTAGTAGTTGTAGGGTCAGTCTAGGTCATAGCTGCTACTATTCCGAAAGGTCAAGTCCTGTCTGGCCTAGGACCTTCCAGAAGTATCCGAAGTGTCCCTTCGTAGGGTCGAAGGGTCAATCCGTGGGTGAGTCAGCAAAGGGGAGTCCTAGTCTAGTCAGCAAAGGTCAGTCGTAGTCCTATCCTAGTCCAGTCAGGGGTACCCAGTCTCAGTGCTCACCTAGTACAGTCAGCAAGTACCAAGTGGGACTGTGCACATGCTGGGCCCGGGTCAAGGGCCAGACCACCAACGAAAAGAGTATAAATAAAGAGGCAGCGTCAAGACATGCATTCATTCTGCCTGTGAGCCATGCGGAAGCGCTGTGTGAGCGACTTGTGCATCGAGGTCTGCAGGTGTCCGAGGGAGGAGAGGGCTAAGAGGAGGAAGAAGCGGCCATAGCTGCTAGCTAGCATAGGAGGAGGATGACAGCCATAGCTGCCACGTAGGATAGAATAGGAGGTTTGTTTAGTATGTGTGTGTGGGACATTCAGGGTGATCCTAAATTGTGTCGGTGCATGTGCGTGTGAACAAGTTGCTGTTGGGTACAGATGATCGGGAGGGAATTTTTGTCAGAGGCTGGGCGCCATAGCCATTCAAGACAAGTTTGAATCTGATCTGTGTTTCTGGCCACATTCGTATCTCTGAGTTTTGTGAGGGCGCACTGCGCCAGTTCGTGTTTGTCATCTGTTTGCATGCATGTTGTAAACGAGTTGCGACAAGTCTGATTTCACCGGTATCGGATCTGGTGCCTGTTGTCCCGTCGCTATCGTCGTCATTGTCATCGTCGCCATAGCCAATCGTTGTCGGGGTAGATCGCCGCTGCGGTCCACTGCTACTTGCATGCCGTCGTTCGCTGCATGCTGCTGTTAATTGCCCGCACCCGCGCACCCACTGTCACACGCGCACAACACTCTGCTGTTCCTCGCGTGCCGCCTGTCATCCCCTCGCACCCATTGTCCTATGCGTACGCTCACTGCCACCGCGCGAGCCTGCAGCTAATCGCGCGCGCCCGTGTGTTCGCTGCCATCCGTGCGCGCCTGCGCGCCGCTGTTGTTCATCGCGTGTCCATAGTCACCCGCGCGCCGTACGGCCAACCCGCCATTGTAGAAGAGGAAGACCGCCATCGCCTCAAGGAGGTACTTGATGAAGAAGATTAAGGCCGCTCGTTGAAGATCACAAGAAGACGACGACAAGAGAGAGAGAGAGAGAGAGAGAGAGAGAGAGAGAGAGAGAGAGAGAGAGAGAGAGAGAGAGAGAGAGAGAGAGAGAGAGAGAGAGGAAAGTTGTGGAGTTGGAGGCGTAAGTAGGGAAGGCAAGGCGGCCATAGCTGCCGCCTAGCTCGGAGTGGAGTGCGGGCAGAAGTGACCACGAAGAAGACGAGAGTGAGACGGAAGGAGGAAGGAGAGACAGATTGAGAGAGAGAGGAAGCCATAGCCAAGGTTGGTGAGGAAGAAGACGGGAGAAAGAAGAGGGTTGACGAAGAAGACGGTCGGCGGCCATAGCTAGGAGGTCAAGGCGTTGACCGCGAAGGTTGACCAAAGGTGTTGATCGGTGTTGGCCAATTCTCTTGACCAACACCGTTGACCAAAACCATTGACCAAGACCATTGACCAAGTTGTTGACCAAGCTGGAGCGCGGTATAATCTCTCCAAGCCTTGGCCCATCCCCTTACCCTATGGATGTGCACATAACCTTGGTACTTGCGTAAGCGTCTGTCTGTCTTCTCTTTTTGCATTCAATCACTTCTAGGTGACCAAACCTGCACGGGACTTAGTAAGGCTAGAACTACGTCTGCCGATTGACAACCTGGGGACAAGACCCCCAAGGACCGGTACAGACCGACAGGTTGCTGAGTGTGGCGTGGTAGGCCCAAACTCTGAGCTGTAGGCTGCGCATCCGGCTGTCTAAGTCTTGAGAGGGTTCTGCTGATCACGTCGTCCTGTTTGCGATATTAAATAATTCCCGAGGAGTTTGGGGGATCTTGTTTAATGCCTCCTGATCAGCAGTAGAGTCCTGTAGTGACAGCCTTAGAGTAGTTTAAGTTAGAGTCTGTGTTGGACAAGTCTACGTGGTGAGGACTGGTATTGTCTGTTGGTTGTGCATCTTTCACCATGGATGACTATCCCATGTACGCCTTGCTCACGGGCTTCTTCCTGTGGGGAGCCCTTTGCCATCTCTTCTTCCCTCTGGGGTTCTGGCGCACTGTTAGTTTAGCCACTACTACCAAGTCCGGGCGACTTTCACCATGGATGACTACCCCGTACATCGCAGAGCAGGAGGAGAGAGCCGCCGCCATATTGCGCAAACAGGAGAAGAAGGAGAAGAAGGCATTGCAGAAGGAGGCCAAGAAAGTGGCCCTGTTGGAGGAGCAGGCAGCGAAGAAGAGGGAATTGGAGGAGATGAAACGGCTGCTAAAGAACAAGAGGAGAAGCTAGCAGCACTCGACAAAGAAGAAGAAGAAGTAAGAAAAAGAAGAAGAAGAAGAAGTGTCAGAGGCCCCGTTAAAGAGGATCACAAGAGGGGTCACAGAGGAAAAGGGGGAGTCTAGCCGTGCCTCAGCTGAGAGAGAGGAAGTGGGGAAAATGATTGGAGAGTGGGCAGTCCAACTGGAAATAGGAGAAGAGCAGGAGGCGAGGTTGTTAGTTCCCCAAGCGGAGAAGGAGGCGGTACAGAGGGCGTTGGAAGCGGAGGAAAGCCCCTTGCAGAAAAAGGCGCTAGAACAAGAAAAGATGCTGGAGTGGAAACTATGCCTTGCAAGGGAAAAGACCAATAGATTGCAAGCGGCAGAGAAAGCAGAAAGGGAATTGTGAGTTGGAGAGGAGAGTCTGCGTAAGCTGCCTGAAGGGGCAGACATTAACCAAAAGTTAGATGCACTAACCCAGGCCGACAAGATAAGGTCAAGCACATTAAGGGGCATGATCTTGCCATTGAATCCATGCGTCTAGGCTGTAAGGACTTTGTGCAGGATATGATGCTGCGCATAAGCATGGAACTGCACACGGCAATAGAAGGGACACAAAAGTTTTGCACTGGCACCAAAGAAGGTGTCAAGATCGCTGCCCCCCAAAGAGGAAGATTTGCGACCACGTCGTGACCGTGTTAAGGTCAG